CTCCAACATAAGAAAATAAGAAGTTATTACCCATTCTTTGAAGGTTCCAGAGAACTATTCAAGATAGTGAAATAGTGGGAGCTATCCGTAGAATAAGCTATAGCAACGAAATTTAATATTGAAAAATTCAATGGGAGAAATTTCTCATTGTGGAAATTGAAGATGAAGGCCATCCTAAGGAAAGACGGGTGTCTAGTGGCTATCAATGAAAGGCCGATGGATTTCGCAGATGACATCAAATAGAACGAGATGGACGGGAATGCTATGGCAAACTTTCATCTAGCATTAGCAGATGAAGTATTGTCAAGTATCGAGGAGAAGAAGACAACTAAGGAGATATGGGATCATCTCATCAAATTGTACGAGGCCACATCGCTGCACAATAAAATTTTCCTTAAGAGGAAATTGTACACTCTCCGTATGCCAGAATCTACTTCAATGACGGAGCACTTAAATACACTGAACACCTTATTTTCTCAACTTACATCCTTAAGCTGTAAAATAGGAGAACAAGAACGTGCTGAACTTCTACTTCAAAGTCTACCGGATTCGTACGATCAACTCATCATCAACTTGACAAACAGCAATGTCATCAGTCTAGTCTTCGATGACGTTGCAGCTGCTGTTCTACAAGAAGAAAAGCAGCGTAAGAACAAAGAAGACAGACAAGTAAATCTGCAACAAGAAGAAGCGTTGACAACAATGAGAGGGAGATCAACAGAACGTGGCCAAAGCAGCAGTCATAAACATGGTAGATCGAAGTCGATGAGCAAGAAGAATTTAAAGTGCTACCACTGTGGAAAGAAGGGTCACTTGAAGAAGGATTGTTGGAGTCTAAATAAAAACTCCAATCCAAAAGGCAATACTGCAAACACTTCAGATGATGGAGATGCTCTATGCTGTGAAGTGTCAACCACCGTGGAAGGCAGAAAAAGATTTGCAGATATATGGCTCATTGATTCGGGAGCAAAATATCACATGACCTCAAGAAGAAAATGGTTCCATCATTATGAACCTGTCTCAGGAGGATCTGTGTATAGTTGCAATGATTATGCCTTAGAGATCGTTGGTGTGGGAACCATCAAATTGAAGATGTATGATGGAACAATTAAAGTTGTTCGAGATGTAAGGCACGTGAAAGGCCTGAAGAAAAATTTATTATCCTACGGATTGTTGTATAATAATGCAAGCAAGATTGAGACACGGAAAGGAATCATGAAGGTGTTCCGTGGAGCGCTTGTGGTGCTAAAAGGCGAAAAGATAGCAGCAAACTTGTACATACTGAAGGGAGAGACTTTGCTAGAAGCAGAAGCCTCTGTTGCCTCATGTAGTTCAGATTCGGAAATGCTATGGCATCAGAAACTTGGACACATGTCAGAATAAGGAATGAAAGTCCTTGTGGAGCAAAAGCTACTTCCAGGCTTAACAAAGGTATCACTTCCTTTGTGTGAGCATTGCATAACAAGTAAGCAGCACCGGTTGAAATTCAACACATCAAATTCTAGAGGCAAAAGTGTTCTAGAATTGGTTCACTCTGACGTATGGCAAGCACCAGTAACGTCCCTAGGTGGAGCAAAATACTTTGTCTCATTTATTGATGACTACTCCATGAGATATTGGGTGCACCCTATTAAGAAGAAGTAAGACGTGTTTTCAACTTTCAAAAACTTCAAAGCGCGGGTGGAACTTGATTCTGGAAATAAGATCAAGTGTTTCAGAACAAATAATGGAGGAGAATACACAAGCGAAGAATTTGATGACTTTTGCAGGAAAGAATGCATCAAAAGACAGTTCACAGTGGCGAACACTCCTCAACAAAATAGAGTGGCAGAGCGGATGAACAGAACCTTGTTAGAAAGAACAAGAGCAATATTGAGGGACGCAGGCCTAGAAAAATCATTCTGGGCAGAAGCAGTCAATACCGCCTGTTATTTGGTGAATCGAGCTCCATCAACTGCAATAGAGCTGAAGACACCAATGGAGATGTGGACTGGTAAACCAGTTGATTATTCAAACCTCCATGTATTTGGAAGTATTGTGTACGTGATGTACAACGCCCAAGAAATTTCAAAGCTGGATCCAAAATCCAGGAAATGCAAATTCTTGGGGTATGCTGATGGAGTAAAGGGGTATCGCTTGTGGGATACCACTGCCCGCAAAGTGATCATTAGCAGGGATGTTATCTTTGTAGAAGATAAACTACAAAGAAAAGAAGACGATGATAGCGCTGAAAAGTCAGAGACTACTCAGATACATGTGGAAAAAGAGTTTGAAGAATGAGATTCTTCTGAAGCAGAACCAGTACATGATGAACAAGAACCAGAGAGTTCTGAAGCTCCAACAACTCGTCAATCAGATCGTGTAAGAAGACGTCCCAATTGGCACTCAGATTATGTTATAGAATGTAATATTGCATACTGCCTTTTAACAGAGGACGACGAGCCATCAACATACCAGGAGGCAATAAACAGCTCAGATGCTTCACTGTGGATGATGGCGATGCAAGAAGAAATCGAAGCCCTTCATAAAAATAATACATGGGACCTTGTGCCACTACCATAAGGAAGGAAGACAATTGGTAACAAATGGGTTTTCAAAATCAAACGAAATGGTGACGATCAAGTGGAGAGGCATCGTGCAAGACTGGTGGTCAAAGGATATGCTCAGAAAGAAGGTATTGATTTCAATGAAATTTTTTCTCCTGTGGTTCGACTAACAACAGTTCGAGTAGTCTTGGCAATGTGTGCTACATTGAATTTACATTTGGAACAGCTAGATGTTAAAATAACTTTTCTTCATGGAAATCTTGAAGAAGAGATTTATATGCTCCAGCCTGAAGGTTTTGAAGAAGACGAAAAGAAGAACTTGGTTTGCAGGTTGAACAAATCTCTGTACGGTCTAAAGCAGGCGCCGAGGTGTTGGTATAAGAGATTTGATTCCTTCATTATGTGCCTTGGATATAACAGACTTAATGCAGACCCTTGTGCTTATTTCAAGAGGTCTGGTGATAACGATTTTGTTATATTGCTGTTGTATGTGGATGACATGTTGGTTGCAGGACCCAACAAAGATCATATTGAAGAATTGAAGGCACAACTGGCTAGGGAATTTGAAATGAAGGACTTGGGATCAGCAAACAAGATTCTAGGGATGCAAATTCACCGAGATAGAAGTAATAGGAAGATTTGGCTTTCACAAAAGAATTACTTGAAGAAAATCTTGTCACGATTTAGCATGCAAGATTGTAAGCCAATTTCTACCCCTCTTCCTATTAACTTCAAATTATCCTCCATTATGAGTTCTAGTAGTGAAGAAGAGAATATGGAGATGTCTCGAGTACCGTATGCATCAGCAGTGGGAAGTTTAATGTTCGCTATGATATGCACAAGACCAGACATTGCACAAGCAGTGGGAATGGTTAGTCGGTACATGGCGAATCCAGGCAAAGAGCATTGGAATACAGTAAAGAGGATCCTGAGATACATCAAAGGGACCTCAAATGTTGCATTATGTTACGGAGGATCAAACTTACTAATCAATGGGTATGTAGATTCTGACTATGCAGGGGATTTGGATAAAAACAAATCTACTACAGGATATGTGTTCAAAGTTGCTGGTGGAGCTGTAAGCTGGGTTTCAAAATTACAGTCAGTTGTGGCTACATCCACAACAGAGGCAGAATATGTAGCAGCTACACAAGCCAGTAAAGAAGCAATTTGGTTGAATATGCTACTGGAGGAGCTTGGGCACAATCAAGAGTATGTCTCTCTGTTTTGTGACAGTCAAAGTGCCTTGCATCTAGCAAGGAATCCAGCATTTCATTCAAGGACAAAGCATATACGAGTTCAGTACCATTTCATTCGTGAAAAGGTGGAAGAAGGGACGATAGATATGCAGAAGATACATACCAAAGACAACATAGCAGATTTCATGACGAAGGCGATCAATGCCAATAAATTTACTTGGTGTCGATCCTCTTGTGGCCTGTCAGAAACGTAAGCAACATGATGGTACAAGATAGAAAGAATGGTGTGAAGATATGATTGTTCCAATCAAATCTTCAAGTGGGAGATTGTAGAATGTCAAAGCACCTTTCGATGCAATTAAGGCACCGAAAGTAGGTGCATAATTTTTTATTTTTTATATGGATAAATTACAAGCTATAGTCACTAAACTTTAGGGTATTTGCAATATTAAGTCCTTAAGATTTAGCTATAAATACCCTATCCCATTTAGCTTCAAAACCATCCCAAAGCATTCTAGCTTTCTTCCAATACTAGAGAGAATTTAGAGAGTTTCTTGAGAGTTGTTTTCTCCTTTTTATTGAGAGAGAATTATCATTGTTTTTCTCCTTGGTAGATCGAGAGAGGTTGTAATTCCTATTTTCTCATAGTGAAATTCTTCTACCGTTGCCCGTGGTTTTTACCCTATTTTATTTAGGGGTTTTCCACGTAAATTTTGTGTCTCTTTTTATCTTCATTTTTATTTTCTCAAATTATCAGTTGCGATTTTGCTCTATCCGATAGCCGTCTTCCGCAACACGGATTTCTCCATTTGCATGTTACAGATTTAGAGGATCATGATAGGACAACGATATTATCAGAGGAGTCTAAGTGAAAGTACTGAAATATAGTGATGAGAACTGAAATAGATATGTAAAAGTTGTGATTTTTGTTTGAGTTTGTTATAAATAATTTATTTATATATTTTGGTTTTTAAATAAAAGAGCTTCACTTTTGTAATTTTATAGTTTTCATATTTTGTATATTGTATTTTCATAATAAAAATTTTGAGATTACTTCGATGATTTAATATGATATTCGTAAATGTGTAAAGTTGGTATGTATAGTTAATTATTTTGTTAATTCCGTCCATCGTAAAGAACTTATGTTTATTAATATACGTACATATTTATTCTACAAATTATTTATGAATCCGTCATCGTAATAACATAATTAAGTAAGCCTTGTCTGCCTTTACCAATGCCGAAGCAAGTATTATTATACCATATGCATTGAATAAGGGCAGATAAAACCGTTGACGGGAAAGATATAGCACATGAATAAAGACATATTTTCCATATTCCTAATCAAATTCAGACGCACAAACAATGAAACCAAGTGATATATGAATCGACATCCATCCTTACAAGAAGTAATTTCCATCATTTGCATATTCATTGGAGTAAGGGGCGTCCCTATTAAAAGCCTGTAAAGAAATATCATCCAACTCAAATTCGTCCAGGATCCGCTCTGCATTAGCTCCACTGCTAGAGTAGCTAAACAAGGCATCTTGTCCAACATTCCCAAACGTTTGCTGCTGTTGCTGAGATGCGTTCTCTCGATGACTTTTTTATAATAATAGTGGTTGCCAGCGGCTGGCATTACGCAAGTTGCAGTGCCGCTTACATTGTGTTCCTTACCGAGAGCGAAATTCAAGTTAATCGGGCATCTCCTGTTGGCTGAAACGTGCGTTGCTGGGCAACCTGTAAACTGTTGCACCAGGGCTCGAAAATTGCTGGCGTCGGCATTGAGAAGGGTGGTCGGTTTTCTCTTCGAAACTCTTGGCCGCAGCCTTATCGGCTTCGAGGAAGAGACGATACTTGCCGTTACCGCAGTGGCATCGGAGAATCCAGGAGACGGTGCCGACACTTCATCGGCACTCGTCTGCTCATAGAATTGCATCCATCCAATGGAGGTTCCCCCAGAGGTGTTCATTGAGTAATTTTGGTTGCTCTTTTTTTTATGCTTTGGTTATAGAAAGGAAACAACCTTAGCTTCAACATGGTTAAATAGTGACAATCTGTGGTCAAAGTAAAAGGTATACTTTTGACCTGCCTGCACGGAAGATTAAATGGCTTGATCCCAAGCATATGATCTTCCTGGAAACCTCGTGTGTTAATATCAAATGTGTCATCATCATATCCCATGCGTTTTGGTTTAAGTTTAGACATTTTGCCTTTGGGTGGGTCTTTGCTTCTTGGTCAACCTATTCCTCGAAAACAAAATGAGTTTAAATATAGGTTTTACATTAATCTCCGCTGATGTTCTCCTTTTCTTCTGCATTAAGTTGCATATGTGCTATTAGTAGAAGCGGACGAAGAAGTATAATCTGTTTGAATCTACAATTCTTTTACCTCTTTTTATGCTCGTCAAGAAAAGAAATATAATTGGAGTAGAATTCTTTCTACGATTGTTTTCTTGGTGAACAAGATTTCCTATCCCTATAAATAGAAATAGAAAATAGAGAATAGAATTTTGTATGTAACAATTCTTATACTTATTCGATATGGTAAAATTTGCTTCTGCTGTACTTGAAATAACAAAATTTTGTTATTTTGAATCAGAATCATATTAATATTCACCAAACCCAAACAGCCATACTTCACCAAAGAGTAGATAAATTACACAAGGTTTAAACCCTAATTCTTAATTTCAACTTACACCGAATCATTAATTATGACATTATAAACGCGGCTTTGTTGGTTGCTTAAGTTTGAATTTTTATTTTGGCTTAATGCCCAAGTTATACTTTTTGTTCCAAGTAGGTGTCTACATTTTTTGTCTATCCGGGTGTCTAATGTTTCAAACGTTAGCATTTTAAGTGTTCGGGCCGTCAACGGCGTTAGTTTTCCCCGTTAAATGACACATGTCATGATCTGGTAATTTTAAATTTTTTTTATATAAAATTGAAAAAATAAAATTATATACTTTTTAAAAAAGAAAATGCATAAATTTTGAAATAACCCCTAAACTTTAAAAAACTTCATTTATACCCCTAAACCCACGCCGACCGCCGCACTTTGCCATTGAAGAAGTTCCACTCGACCTCCCCTCCCCCCGACAACTAAAACCCCTGTGAAATCGTGACCGATCGATGATAAATCTACGTTTTAAATCCCGCGAACCCTAGGATGAAAATCATGATCCCATGCGATTCCAATGGTGAATCGGCAACAACTATGGCAACAAATAACTTGGATGATGGCAAGGACTACATCGGCGGCGGTGGTCGTGGTCGGAGAGGACGGCGACAACGGATTAAGGTTAGGATTTGGGATTTTTGGAATGTTTTATAAATATAATAACATTTTCAATATTTTTTAGAAAATAAATTTTCAATTACAATTTCAATACTTTTACCGATTTACAAGGCATCGGTAAAAAAAAAAATAGTTTGGATGAATTTCCTCTTCGGCACCGTTTTCTTTGCTTTATTATTATTTTCAATTTTGGCTTTACTGATTGTTAAGCCAAATGCATTGGTTCTCCGAAGAGGAAACAATGGGGAAGTTTCACAATGTGAAAAGGACTATTACTATATTCTTTGATTTTGACCAACATCATAAATGGTCTCACTCTCACATGGAATAAATAATATAGCATCATCATGAAAAAGAAATATTAATGATCAACATTGATCCAAGGATCGTATTCACTTGGCTTGATTTTACTTATATTTGTGTAAAACTTTTTTATTGATAATGTATAAAAGATAATCTTAATACTTATAATTTTACATATTTTTTAATTAAACAATTTAACATATTTTTCAATGTTTCATACTATAATACTTATATTATTAAAGAATTGTCTTTTATTATATAAATTATATAGGATTATATATTTAAAAAATTTCACAATACAATATGTTTTTTAAATAAGCACTTTTCTACTCTAATCTATTTTTCTTCTCTTTCTTTTATTTAGCCGCAATGACACCAGTATTAATATTGATTGCCGACCGTTTGCGATTATTTTTTTCTTGTTCTTTTTCATATTATGTCTTTGTTTTTTTTCCTTTTAAATAAGAATATATGTTCTTGTGACGCGCTTTTTCTCTGTTCTTGTGGCACGTTCCTTATGTTTTTCTGTAAGTTTTTCACCTACTTCTGCAGTTGTGTAGGTGCTTCCACAAAAATGCTCACGGTATTTGTTTTATGATTGGCTTGTTGGTAGACGCGTATTGTCAGATGTCCTCTTTTGTAAATGGTCGTTTACCGATATAATTAGAATTGTGTAGCGAAACAATCTGTCAAATTATTTGGCTCGCTCACCGCTCCTTTATTACATCGTAAAACGTCACGTTCGACAGAGACAAAGAGTTTTATGAAGGTTACTGGATTGTTTTGATATTTGGAAGTTTCTTTCTCTTCGTATCTCTTTAGCTCGTTATAATTTTGATTCCTCCAATTTTATTAGTGCAATTCAATTTGTTAAATAAAATTATTTAAATAAGCCTTTGTATCTAGATAAACTCCTCGTCATTAATGCATATTCATAGAAATTTTCGATTTCAATGACTTTTGATGACAATGAATTTAAATTGACAAATTGCATAAAAAAAATAGTTGTTGAAGTTGACAAGAAGAAAAATAACTTTCTATTTTTTATCTGACCTTTTCTACATCAACAGAAGAGACATCAATTACATTGATGAATTCAAATTTAATTAATTTTGTTATGTCGATGAAATCAGAGAAACTTTAAAGACTCCGTTAATTATCCAGATTTTCTTTCAACCGTTGCGTGTCTGGAAAAAAGATTATAAGCATGGTGTTTCAGTTTCTATATTTTTTGAAGTTCTAAGAAGCAAAAACCCATACGGAGTCATTCATCCCGATCCTGGCCCTGCCACAGTTGCAAGGTGCTACAAAACAATATGTTTTACTGCACCGTTCAGCCTACGTTGTAAATGAGACGGAATACGATTGTAAATTCTTCGAATTTGATTTCGTTAAAGTTCAATCAACACTAATTTAAATAAATCCTAATCGAATTCTTAACGAATCAAAACGAGCTACTTAATTCTCAGCACGAAAAACTCGTTACAAACTCAAAAATATAGTATAAGATTTCAATGTACTTAAAGTTCATGATCGGGCTCGAGTTTAAACCTAAACCTAACTCAAATTTAAGCTTTAATAGAACTAAATATGATAAATTTTTTCGAACTTTAATCAATCTTCAATTTTTTATTTCAAATTCGAGTTAAATTTGACAATCTTAACGTGACAAATTTTTTAATCGAATCGAGTTCAATTTTAAACTTTTTAAATCAAGAGTAAAACTAGACTCAATTGGTTTACAATCTTAATTCAGTCGCATAGAGGAAGAAAAGGGAAACAACGCAACGATGACCGTATGATATACAAGTACATTTACATTAAATGGGGTGTTAAACTTGCACCCTCAATTCCCTACGACTAAAGGATGGGAACAAAACAAACTCCACAAAATTGACAAATTTATGTTCAACTCGCACTCTCACTTTTCTTCCTATTAAAGGAAGTTGTCGGGACACAATTACTTGTTCAAATCTTCTTTCTTTCTTTCTACTCTACGGTTATTTCTAGTATAGTGGTAAGTCTCGGCTTTTTATATCTCCGAAGAAGTAAAGACGAGCACACCACGCTAACAGAAGAAAGAGCCATACACGCTCCGGCTGCCCACGGTGGCAACATAATCCCCAATGAGGGATAGAATACCCCAGCAGCAATCGGAATTGCAACCACATTGTACGCCATTGCGAAAACGTAGTTCAACCTTATACGCCTAAATGTTTTCCTTGAGATATCGATGGCCGTTATCACATCTTCCAAGTTATTTCTCATCAAAACATAGTCCGCGGCTTCGATGGCAATATCAGTCCCTGCACCAATTGCCATACCAACATCTGCAGCTGCTAGAGCAGGAGAATCATTGATCCCATCACCAACCATTGCAACAATGCTTCCGTCTTTCTGGAATGATCGTACCACGTCCGCTTTTCCCGCTGGCATTACCTCTGCTCTAACATCATGAATGCCCACCTGTCCATAATAAAAATACTTTTTGTTCAATCTACAGTCTGCATAAACTCTCATACGATCTAATTACTGGTTTGAAAGGGAGTATTTAAAAAAAAAACCCATAAAAACAATGCAATGCATAGCATGTAAGCATACAAACCTCTCTAGCAACAGCCCGAGCTGTCCTCCAATTATCCCCGGTAACCATGACAGGTATGACACCCAATTTCCCCAGGCCTTCTACGACCACAGCCGCTTCTCTCTTCAATGGATCGGCTACTCCCAAAACTCCGATCACGTTACTGTCATAGGCTACAAGTATGCCTGTCCTGGCACTCTCTTCCAAATCAACTACAAATTTTTCTACATGGGTAGAAATGCTAACTCCACTTTCCGTAAGCAGCTTCCTGTTACCAATCTATTCACAAATACCATGTTTGATCAGAGTAATAAAGACAACTTCCCAAGCCTCAGAATTTATAAATAGTTATGGCCAGGCACTCACAAGTACTCGTTTTCCGTCAATAAAACATCGAATTCCTCTTCCTGGCACGGCAGAGAACTCTGCAACATCAAGAAGCCATGCAGAAACAGAGGATTCTTTGCTGCTGCTTTGGGCATCTTCAGTTAGTGAATTTTCATCAAAGAAATGGAAGTGGCGTGCATTCGACTATTGCTTTGGCCAATGGGTGTTCACTGCTAGCCTAAGGAATGAGAAGAAGAAAGGAAATTCAGTGACAGTAGAAATGCATAAGGAACAGATGATTCTTCGCTGCTGTTTTGGGCATCTTCAGTTAGCAAATTTTCATCAAAGAACCGAAGAGGCACAACTACTCTGCCATTCAATGTAGTCTATTATAGATTTTTTTTTCTTTTTGTTGTTAAATCCTCTTTGTGGGACTTGAAAGCTGGACGCTCAAGAAACACACACGATGAAATCTTATTT